GCATATATTTTACCGCCACGTCGGAGGCCATGGGGCTGTGGAGTGTCGATCAGAAATTTGTCCACGCACGGAATTTATATCAATCGGGAAAGGAATTCCCGACGCATCGTCCAAAGCGACAGTCGCCATGGCGGGGACTCGGGAGAGCCCACGATACTATTCATGTGTAGGAGATTTAGTGGTTTTGCCGAGATGTTGGAAAGCACTCGAACGGAAAACAAGGTTTTCGATGAGGGAGCATCAAAGACTCGCACAGAGTAATGCGAACAAGAGAGGAACGACGATGCTCGCGCGTAAAGCGGCCGATCGAGTATGTAGGTGGGCACACAAAGTTCTGCATGCGGAAATCAGCCGCGAGAAGGGGGGGAGGGCGCAGGCTCCACTCGCCCAATAAAAACGAAGTCTCGCCAACTCAAAACTCGGCGCAGAGAGGCTTTTTTCCTTCGGGTTTTTCCCTCGTCTTTTGTCTCGTAGGGAATCTCTGCGTGAGCGAGACGGACGAATTCCCGGGGGACGGACCGCACAGTTGTCGTGGTCTTTGAGCGAACGTCCTCTAACGGAGGCGAATGGGAAAAAAACTCGACTTTTCCATTATAAGAGCTTGCATGGCATGCAATACATTGACAGTCCTCCCGCCCCGACGGGAGACGCTTTCCGAAATCAGCATTCGACTACGTTCCGAAGGAGACCGTTCTTTCGGACGGATCACAGAACAGCGCCAACGTCAACGGTTTTTCATACCCTCCTGCATAGAGTGCGCAATAGGTTTGCGTATAGTTCTTGTTATTCGGATGGTTCCAAGTTTCGGCAGAATAGCCCTGCGATGGGTCGACTGCCGCGTGGACTGCCGATGCAATCACGAGCTGGGCGTGGAGGTCGATATCGGACCTATTGGTCGCCCAGGTCGATAACAGCAATCCGCCCAGTGTCTATTGACAGTGGAGATCGCGACTTCGCTCGACTGTGGGGGCGTTGAGAGCTGCGCACGTCTGGTAGGCCTGGAAGCAGGTGCCTGAGAGAGAAAGATCGGTAGATATCGGTCGGTCCGTGTCCGGGAGGAAGGAACTCCCTCGATATGCTTGGCTCTCACACGATTACAGGGAGATGAAAGCTCCAGAGGTGCAACAAACATTCGCCCGTAATTGCGCCGCAGTCAGAAAGTCCGTCATGCTACGGTCTGGACTCTCTTATCACAGAGATGAACGATGAGCTCGAGGCTCGGGTTTAATCAGGGCCGCTGAAATGAGCGCGTCTGTCATCATCATTCCATGCCGGGGAGTTCCCGATGAAAGCCGAAGAGAGTTCCCGATCGAGTCCCCTATCGTCAGTCTGATTGGTTGGACTCCGGGATGCAAAAACTCGAGGAATCCCGCTACCTCAATCGGAACGTTCGAATCTATGACTAGACCGCGAGCGTCGATAAATGAGTTCTGCTACAGCTTCGGTTAAGGGAGGGCGCCGCGTCATATCTCCGATGGTACAGCAGTGCAAGTTGAGCTCTCCTGGGATTCCAAGCTGCTGCCGAGGAGGTGATGCTAATTGCCAGCGTTCGCCGATGAGTGTTTCTGGATTATTATTTCTTTCCGTAGCTTCTGATTCCGTTTGTTGGTGACGCTGAAGCGCGGAGCAAATAACAAGTTCCAACGCTCTGAGGGTCTCAGAGGATTCCCAACTTCTAAGGATATAGGCGGAGCCTCCGCCAGTTCTATCTAGCCGAAACTTCTCCCTGGCTCGGCATGTCGTCGAGTACTTCACCCTCCAACGACATATATGTATGTTTCTTTCGTCTGGAAGTGCGACCTAGTTTTCGAGCGAGAACGACTCGGGTGGGTGTGTGTGTGTGTGTGTGTGGTTGAATGCTTACTCTCATCCATCGCTCTCTTCCACATTGCGGGGACTCCGATGCGGTGGGAAACAATCTCTTCTGAGAGAATCGTCGATGTCCCCAGTCTGAGCATTGTCTCGTCTCTCCAGCTGACGGCAGTTAAGCGCACATGAGGGATTCTCGGTGATCTTGGGGGGATACCGCGAACAGCGAGAGCGATCGAGGAAGAGGGACGAGCTCGACTCTGTTCACTGATCGGACCCGCTGATCCAAGCTCTCGAGATGACGACCGGTTTACTCGGTATCGCAAGCTCGCTCGCGATTTCAGATTTGTGCTCGTGGGGTTGGCGAAAGCTCACGCGGCGACATTCGACACAGGAGGGAAGTTGCGCAACCTTTTCGAGTGAGCTGGGTTTCCAGACCAGAGAACTCTTTCTGATTCTAAAGCGTTTGTGTACTATTCGGAGCCGCATTTGCGGATCCCGCTCGAAAACAGAAAGTCTTGTCACAAGATTTCCCGGGCGAATGGGTCCCCGCATCATCGACTCCAGCGAAGTGTGTGCACTGAGATTCAACTTCGAGGACAACTCTCGAGGAGCTTCGTCCTAAGCTTCACGAGGAGTAGCGATCCTGAGGTCTCGGCGGAGTACGGTAGTCGAAAGGAGCCGGATCGAAATTGGGAGCGAAAACCGTCGGTTTGTGCCGCGGTTTCCTCGATTGGCAGCTGTCGTGGTTTCATCAGGAGCCGAGGGAGTGTTCGACACGAGCGGATTCGAAGTTTCGACACTGAGCTTGTCCCTGAATTATAATCACAGTTTTCCCAATAAAACCTTCTCAGGCGAATCAATTTCGGCCGCTTTGATGGAGAAGTTCGTCTCGGTCTGAGGCTGCGTATGTCCATGATGATATACGAGGTCCGATCTGCCGGCACGAGCAGGACATTGGTCGACATATAGAGACGAGTGATACAAAGTCCCTTGGAATCGCTTTAGTGCCGAGGTTGCGGGAAACACTGCCGGCGAGGAAGACAGACAGGATGCGGTGAAGGCGGGCGGTCGGTCAAGCCTGTGCCCGCAGCGGGGTATCGACGGAGAGGTAGAGAGCACCTAAAGTAGATTCAGCGAGGATTGCCAAAAGACGAGAGTGTATCTGCTGACGGCCCCGCGCGACGGAAAATTCTGAGCGCAGACCGTTGACGTGAAGTAATATACTCCAGCGTCGGCTCGCCCGCTTCGAAGTCTAATGAACTAATTGATAATTCAAGCTGTGAATCGGGAGACTTTGTCGAGGAACCGCGTTAATCAGACCCGATCTATCAACGACCGTCGACGACCTTACGCTTCGTGATGATTCAAAGACGAGCTGAGTTCGGCTTGATGACGGCGGTCACTACCACCAAACCCCGCCGCTGCCGCCGGTATTGATGCAGTTCCACCGAATGTCGCGGATATGATCGGATCAGCTCATTGGGTATCGACTCTCGAGCTCCATCAAACACCGAATCACAACTGTCCGGGGCAAGAATCAGGAAACATCGGGATGTGATGTCGCTGGCGATCAAGGTCACCGAACAACTCGCGAGACTGCGACCGAGGCCGGCTAGTGATCATTTCAATAATTCGTCTCCCGGGATTTTCGGGGCCCTAGACCCGGTATGTCCGCGCGTCCCATTACTCACTGCGAAATGTTCCTCTTCGGTCCATCCGTGCCGTTGCTTCTCTGTGGACGTTGCTCCAATGGATGGACCGACCAAGCCGAGCAAGCGGCCCACCGTCCTACCCACTGGTCGACTGCCTGGCGGTCTCGTCCGTCCGTCCGTCCGTCCGTCCATCCGCCCGCCCGCCCGCGCGCGCTGGCCTGTCAACGAAAAGGGCGCGGACAAACGAAGCGAGTCGCAGACAAAACTCCCATATGGAACCGAAGCTGTGGCCTTCGCGTAAGGACTTGCAGAAAAATATGGTTGCCATTGGCCTCCCCGTCCGGTCGGCGCCCCATCCGCTTTTTCTGTTCCTATTACTCCGAAGTCCGGCCTTCAATGACTGTAGGAGCTGAATGAGTCCGACACAGGACCGCAAAGACCGGTTGAATGACGGTCCTAATGAGGAGCAAGCACAAAAATTTTACAGACCCTACATGGCTGTCAAATATGATCCGCCGACCGCATGTCCGAATCGTCTGCCCAATCTATTAAGTCTTGGGACAGTTTAAATGTTGATATGATACTTCCCTCATGAGCCTTCCCGTCGGTCCAGTCCATTCAATCATCGGAGTTCTCGTCCTCCTTATCCACATTGCTTTGTTCCAATAATTTCAATGCTCCATGGCCCGCCCGATCCTCGTCCAAGCGATCCCTACACGCGAGAGCCGCCCTGACCAACAGAAACACCAAAACATGTATCGAATTACTAGGCTCCGACCCACGATGGATATGAAGAACGCCGACGCATACCCCGCTCGAGCAGCGTGTTGCCATGCGGGAAAGCCCCGCAAAGAAGTCATGATACTCCGAGCGGCGTTCCACGGGTGGAAGACACGTTTCGCTTGCGATGAGCCAGGCGCGCAGACCTCTCGACCTCCTCGCTGACCGATTCCTTACCGTTCCATAAGCTGGGACGTACCAAGCTCCGTCTTTGAATGGAGTAGAACATTGTTCCCCCGATGCCGCTTCTGTCAAGCAATCAGGGGCGGAGAGGCGGCTAGGCATACTAATGCAAAAAAAGTTTCAAACGAAGTCCAACTCTGTTTCAAATGCCCGAAGGGAGTAGCTCGGACTGAGCTCGGGAAGAGCTTCAGTTCCCCCCTCTCTGAAACAACACACGCGTTGCCTTCTTCTGAAACGACTGCTCTGCATGAAAACTCACTTTATTTCTTCCCATTACTCGATGACGGCATCGGCGAGAACATGACTCTCAATCAATAATCCCTCTTCCAGCTCCTCGAAAGCGGAATTCCGTGAACGAAGAAGGCTCTCTGCCCTTTCGAGGGCATGCTCGAAATTTTTCGTGGAACTCCCACAGTTCCGAAGGGCGCCCTCAATAATATTATGACTACAGTTCGATAGCAGAGAAGCAATCGGACTCTGAGGACCCCCGCCCCCCTCCCTCCTCACCCTGAACGGAAGCGTATCTAGTCTAGAGTATAAAATTACTAACCAACCACTCGTCGTTCATTCCAGTGGGCCGATCCCCTCTCCACCTCCCGGTGATGGTTTTCATCCAGGGAGAGTCGTACGAATGGAATTCAGGGAATTCCTTGGACGGAACGCTCCTGGCCAGTTTAGGGAATGTTGTCGTCGTAACCCTGAACTACCGACTCGGCATTTTCGGTAAGCCTCCGCTTTTTCCTCCATGCATTGGCTTAATCAGCCGTATTACACAACTAATATACCGACAACGGCTACCGATACACTGAACCGTCGACCGCCGCTGCGTCTACATACCGTTTCTCCCTCTACTACTGCCGCAGTAACCGCGAAGGCCGAGGCTCTGCGTTGCGAGTGCCTCCCACCACTAATACTACGACCACTACATACATACATACACGGCCGTTCGTTTAGCTGCTCAGCTTGTTTCGGCTCCTTCCATTCGCTTCGATTTCTGTGACCCCGTTCTTTTTCTAGTAGCTCTTCGGCTGGCTGTAATGACCTCTCGAGATCGTCGATCGGGGCGCGGGTTCATCCGAATACGCGCAGCAGTATTGAATAATTTTCTCGAGCGCACTTTTTCCGCATCTGTCACGCGGACGTAGCAACACCGGCATTGACGTGGACGACCAAATGTAATGCGATGACGAGGGCTGTAGCCTCGGGCTATTGCTAAATAGGAAAACGTATAGGTAGCCAGACCGAGTACATAGTGGAAGGGAAAAAAGAAACCTATCTAATTAGCGGACTCCAACTCGAGCAGGCCGGCCAGCTGCGACGCCGAACGCGCGTGACGCCGGCCATCACGATCACTTCATCGGGGTCGTTTGCTTCTTTCTTCTGGTCGTTTACTCCAACCTTTTCCGGCTTCCCTCTCATTGGGGCACGGCGATTTTTCCTCCCGCTTTATCTCTGGCCAGGCGGCGCGGCCGGGTGCGGGTTTCCCCCTCCAACACGTCGTCGGCGTGATGGGGTTGTAGATTGTATCTCTCTCTGGATCCCTCCTCCCCATCCACTTCATGTTGGCCATTCAGCCGGGTTTTCTCTTGCCCACATGTTCAATCGCTCGGCAAGAAGAGCCCAACTCAACTCAACCATACTTTCTGAGATAATCATATCAAACACACATTAGGTCATTAGACAAGGGGGAGTTCCGCCGCGCTCGGTGCAGCTTATCTAGGTCGTAACTCCGGGAGAAATCAACTTAGCGCGAACTGCGCGCTGAACTCTCCCAGTTCCCAAGTTTGCGCGGTCGCGCAAGGCCGCGCGGGTGCACCGGCAGTCGGTAATCACGCACGCATTTTTGAATAACGTCCTTGCCTACGCTGCTGCAGGCTTCTTGCCGCCGATCTCGGAGAACGGCCGCGGCGGGAACAACGGTCTCCTCGATCTCGTTGCCGCGCTGCATTGGATCCAGGGCAACATCGCCGAGTTCGGTGGTGACACGAGGAATGTCACCGTTATAGGACACGGACAGGGTGGCGCCCTGGCGAATCTCCTCATGTTGACACCAATGGCCAAAGGTTCGTGTTGTGATCGTTTCCTCTTCTGTGTGCCGACCCTCGTGACGAGCCGTTCTGTACGGCTCGTGTCTATCCATTGCCGTCGGCGCGCTCTTGTGCCCGGCCATTTGAGAGTGGATATGAGTGCGATGGCAATCCTCGCGGCGCTCCCCAAGGATGCTATTCGAGCCCACGACGAGCGTCGTGTGCTCATTCATATTGATCAATTGTCCTCAGGGTTGTTTCAACGAGCCGTGTTAATGTCGGGATCCGCACTCAGTCCGTGGGCGATCGCCCGAGAAGCTCCGAAGTTCACCAAACGCATCGGTCAAGCCCTCGACTGCCCCATCGAGGACAATAAGGCACTCGTCGAGTGTCTGAAAACCAAGTAAGCCATATATCTTGTCCCTTTGTTGTTCACGTTCAGCACAATAAACCACAATTTAGTGGTTATGCAGAGCGCGTTCGGAGCCCTCTTCCACCAGCATGGCCGCCGCTCTAACGGCTCGCGTCCTCCCCCATCGTGACGAAACTGGCTTCGCAGAGAGTAGTTCGGAGAAAAGTTTTGATTCCATCGCAGGGTCTCCTATGTATGGACGGCGAGCTGCGAAGTGTTCGTTATTACGAAATATATGTGTCTGGGCCGGGGAAGCTCGGAACTCCGTGACACCATCCTGTCGTCGACGTATAAAACAGCAGACTGGTCACGCTAAGTTCTGAGGCCCCGCTGAGCCACAGGTGCGAACCGATCGTCGTGCGATCGGTTTTGCTCCGCCAGAATATAGCAATAAGATGCTCCGACAAGCATATACTGCGCAAGGATTGCGAGAGGAAATCGTTGCTGATCGATAATTGACTCGATCGCATCCGCTCTTGGAGGCGGGAGCATTGCTCTCCACCATTCAAAACTGCTTCCTTCCCGCGATGGGAGCATGTAGTGCAGTTGCAACTGCGTGAATTGACCGTTTTACTGGAGGAGTAGAGACATCGAGCGGAGAACTGTTGTCTCCGTAAATTAGTGATCTTGTGAATAAATGCTGATTCTCGGATTAGGTCGAGAGACTGCTATTATCCACGCAGACTACTTGCTCGGTCGTCCCCCACAGCGTTGCTACATTTCCTGTTTTTCCAGACCTGCCGCCGAAATCATCGCCGTCGAGGTCGAAGCACCGGAATATCACTCGGCATTCGGACCTTGCGTCGACGGCATAGTAGTCGCCAGAGAGCCCTTGGTCTTGATGGAGGAACATTCTGTCGCTCAACTTAAGACCTACGACGCCATATTCGGAGTCACGTCTTACGAGGTGGGTACAACAATGAACTCCTGTGAGGCATTATTATTTCGCCTCTGGTAAGAACTGTCAACCTTTGTCAGAGGAAGCGGTGTGCGTTGGAAAGGTGCTTGGAAGCTTCCGTACATGCCGTGCCGATGTCGAACATTCTGTGATCTGACAGCTGCCTCGGTGAACATCGGCATCGCTTGCAATATCCGAAACGCCGACTACAGCGGTTTCAAGATTGTCGCTAGCCTTCCGCATCGCAGATCCATGTAGTAGGGCAGATGAGGGACCATTGCTTTTTAGTGTCCTACGATCAGAAAACTCGGTGATCGCTGATGGAAGGAGTGCGCGAAGCACCCAACGGGATGGGAGTCGAGCCGGGAAGGGGGAACACCTTTCCTCGCAAAAAACGGGAAAGCGTTCGACTCGCATCCTCGGGGTAATTTAGTCACCTTGTCCCCCGTCGTTTTCCTCAGTCATTTCGGCAGTAATTCTAGGCCCGACGCTGTTGGTTGTCATACGAAATGCTCACACCCTTGCAGGCCTACGATTGGATGTCGGCGGAAGAAGAGAAATATGGGATCGAAGCAGAGAGACGAGATCGGATCTTGAGAACACTTGTGAGAAATCTGTTTACATACCATCAACAAGAGATACTCCTCACAGTGCTGAACGAATATACCGATTGGACTCGGCCGTTCCCTCCACATCCGCTCTCCATCCTTGACTGTGAGTACATGGATTCCAAGCTCGTGCAGATCAGCGTCTCGTCCGTAGCCCCTCGAGCCCTGGGGAGATATCCGTTCAGATCGACTATACTCGGTCAGATATAGCGTAGATTCTCATTTCGTCATGGATGATGCCGAACAGCATCCTCCTCTCGTGGGCTGCCGACGCCCTGGTGAATACCGTTTTTCATCTTCCGCTTGGGAATCTGCGGCGAAAATAAGCGTTGGGGAAAAAGGCCGCTTATTGGCCGCTATGTTCTGGGTCCCGAACAGCGGAGCCATGGAAAAAGCATCGTTGCAAGAGCTTGCTTGTGCGAAATTTCCGCGACACTGGACTTTGACGATTGGTTCAATTTGTCCCAATGATTCGGAGGGAAATAAACGTCGCAACAGGAATTCAGTAGACCTTAGACAGAGAGTTCCAATAAATCCTCGACGCATGAGGGTGGCCAGCTGAGCGGAACGGACCAACAATCAATGCGGGACAATAGCCTCGGGCGACTGTTCTACCGGACAAACCTCACCGGTTTCGTCGTTCTTCAGCTTCGTTCTTCTCATGAGTGCTCCTCAGTCGACCGCCGAGCCGTCGCCCCGCTTTCTGTACAGTGTTTTTCTTCCGATATTTCCCTCTTGTCAACCCTCAAAGATACAACGGTCCGTGAGGACCAAGCGAGTTCGGCGAGAGGCTCAAGTCGACCTAAGTATCAAAAACTATTTCAGCTACGGCCGAGGTTCTCGGAGATGCTCTCGTGGTTGCTCCTCTTTTCCGGGCAGCGAGTCTCCATGCGAGAGTGGCGAAGAATTCTTTCGTCTACGTTTTCGGCTACATGACAGAGCACGGCGACTACCCGAACAGGGTAGGCGGCGCACATGGCGAAGACCTTCCGTATCTGTTCGGGGCCCCGTTGACACCCCTCCACAGTCATTTCAAAGACGGCAACTACAGCAAGAGCGAACAATCCCTCGCAGAAGCCTACGTCAGCTACTGGAGTAACTTCGCTCGCGTCGGGTGAGTCATACCTCCGTATTCCTTCCGGATCATATGCTCCAAGGTCGCTCGCGACAGAAGGGGAAACGAGCCCCGGACTTGACAAATGACCGGGGAACCAGGCCCGGCTCCGATAGAGCTTGGAATCTGTTGTTCGAGGCGCGTTCCGAATATTCGAATCACATGCCGGTCCTCTCGGCCACACTTTGCCCGCACGGCATGTTCTTGAGAGGAGAGGGTTCGCCACACTGAAACTTCTCAGTTCTGAAACCCATCGATCAAAATATCGATCTGCAAGTCCGATCACCTGAACATTTCACTGAAGTCGCAGAGTCCATCGCTTGCGAGACGCTCGTGCATGGAGGGCTCGCTCGGTCTGCCCGGAATTCGAGCCGGACCGAATCCTGCGACGGAAGATGGGTCTCGAATATTTTTCCCATTAGGATGGCTAATGAGAGCACCGCTCCTTCATCTGCGGATATGAACTTTCGGGAAATCATTCTTCAATTTCATGAAATACGAGACCTACGTGAAGCAGTGACTAGAGCTCCGAGTTCCGCCGGGGCGGATGCTGGCCTCCCCTTGAGAATGTATTACATTCTCAAGTCGCTCTTGTTGGAGAGATATGTACGTTAGGCAAGAACGAACTATGCGAAACCCGGCGGGATAATCGCGCTCCCCAAAGTCCTCGGGACTGCGGCCTCGATGTTGCGTCGGAAAAGCGTCGTCAATAGTCTTATTGAGAGCGGGGAGAATCGTTCTTAGAACCCCGTCCCGAACCCAATCAGGAACTGTGGTCTGCATGTCCTTCCGGGAGAAACCGCCGAGAAGAATTTGTCGCTGCCTTTATGTCGCTGACTTGTTCTCAATTTTTGTGGGTAGAATCTACGTCCATTGTGCACCGCGTCACAGAGCTCCATCAAAGCTCTCTTTGATACGGACGAAACATGCTGGGAAGCTCGCAGACTTCTGAAAATTCCAGGCGCAATTGGGTTAGACTCATCTTGCTCTTATTTTCCTCTCTCGCGGATGTAAGCCCCCGGCGACCGAGGCGGCGCTCATCGCCGTAAGGAGAGCGGAACAAAGATTGAAAACGTCTCGGACACTCTAATGATTTTCCTCTCAAGACGAAAATCCCTTATTGGGAAGTGACCGTGGAATTCCACACAGGTCGCGGAAAAAAACTGTAACGGTTCTGAGGAGAGAACAGATTTCCCGAACGGCGCTCTGATGCTTAGATCTCATTCCAGGGACCCGAGTGTATTTCCCGAAGATGGAGGAGCTGCCGATCGGAATAACTCGAGGGATAGGAACCGTTTAGATAGATTGCCTTGGGCAGCTTTCGATCCAAATCATCAGAAATTCATGTATCTAGGAATGAAACCGAAGCTCAAAGATCATTATCACGCACACAGACTGTCTCTGTGGAACCATCTCATACCCATGTTGCACAGGTCAGTAGATTGCTCCCGGGAACCACTCAACCGAAACGGTGGTCCTCTTCGAGGGGTCGACCGTTTCCCAGAAGTGTTTTTCCCGAAAGAATTTCTCTTTCCGCTTGACTCCTTGTATCTGGTGCCGTAGGACGCAGTCAATGGTCACTTAGTTGGGAAATGATCCTATTTGCCAGGTCTGGTGGGTCAGATGTGAGTCCCTCTCATCACCTGTTGGATGGGCATGACAATCCGCATTTGTTTGATGGAGTCATTCTCGGAACCAACCTCCAACAGATGCCTAGCTTCAAAGTGGGTGCAGGCGCCCCTGGGGGCGTGAGCGACGACGAAGATCATGCTCTCCAGGAGAACAGGGTAATTTTTCTAGGAGCTCGAGAGCTCCGGTCATAACCTTGCCGTGCGCTCGCAGCTTCACGTATCTTGGGCTCTTGCGCCTTCCGAGCTCAGAATAATCCTATTCGCAAATCGTAGCGGCTTCGATGATTTATTGGATATTTACGGACTGTGTTGAAGCGAATGAAGAGCCCGTCCGTTCCTCAATGGCTCCCTTCACGAAAGCCTCGTATTCGAAATCGCTCTCTTTGCAGTTGGCTCATAAAGGCTCGGCGGCCGCTTCAACTCCAGAGCACGTCGCCGCGTCCGTCTCGAACGCCAGTAGTGGAGTTTCACATCCGCCAAAGTCTCTGGATCATCTCCTGCTGGAGTACGGTGGCTATTCAACCGCCCTGAGTGTTACAGTCGCGGTTGGATGTTCACTGCTTGTTCTCAATTTGCTCATATTCTGCGGAGTGTACTATCAAAGGGATCGAGTGAAACAGAGCAAAGACTCGAAGGTACGCGAACGGGACGAACAGCTCTCTGGCTTGCAAGAGTTTTCCCGAGGATTGAGGGCTTAGAGCTGTAGCCGAGAAATTCCTCGTTACCTCATTAAATTCTCCGAGGAATATTCGAGGAGGAAAACCCAGTCTTGATCAAGTTCTCAGGGCTTCGAGAAATGGCTCGCGTACATGAGTTAAACGATCGATTTAACGTTTCAGTCGAAGAAGCGGAAACGTGATAAGAATGGCTGCCAGTCTAGAGGCGGTGTGAACGCAGCGGCGAGTAATATCAGCCTCGGTAAGGATCATCAACAGGACATGATGACGGCAACGTCGATCCTGCGAAACGCCACGTCGATGCCCGACTCTCCTCAGAGTCAAGTACGGGCAGAGTCACAACAGCACACAGCCACCATAAACCGGCACCTGCATCCTCAGGGCATGGTCAAAGCCGCGCCACCACAGGTGAGCATCCTGCACAGCATCTTGAGTCCTAAGAAACTCCCAAGAATTTCACTCCTGAACGTAGGGGCACGCAAGCGCCATGACGCTAGAATGGAGTCGAACGTTTCTGGCGGTGCCCCGTATGTCTTCGTTTTCGGAGATTATTTTTCACTTTTAGTCGCTCCATATGGTCTCCGTTTGTTTTCTTCAGCTGCACTTCCAGCTGTCAACTGTAGAGTCTGTCGATTATCGACGTGGAGGCGTGAGCACAGCGCCGGCGGATTCCCGCGGATATGAATCGGCAGCCCCCGATACGTTGAGTTTATCTAGACGTCCAAAGGATTCGTACGACGCAATGCCGTGAGTATCCCCGTTCGCCTGCGATCGCCGAACGATTGAGTCGGGAATATTGTTTTCATCGAGGATCTAAACCGCTGGCTCTCCGGACGTCCTGGACCCTCCTCTGCGAATCGACGGTCGTTTCACTTAAAGACCTCTAGATTATTCGGGAGATTCCCAGCGACTCGCGGATAGAAAAGACTCCAAATAGGTGCCATGATGAGACTCGATAGGATCTCTGGTCTCAAGTACCGAGCGAATTTCGAGGAGTCATCCGATGACTTAATTGCTCGATCCATCCCCAGGACGGGTGAGAGCTGTGTCGCTCCATACGCATGGAGTCCCGATAGGGTGGTTCATTTCCAACTTGGCCAACAGAATAATCAACAGAACCTCGAATGTAAGTTTTGCAGAGACGAACCACGTCAATCGGTTTCTTTTCCGATACTATTCCCCTTCCTTGAGTGAGCACTCAGGAAAGCCAATCGTAGACTTTGCTTTGAGGACAAATCTCATTACCTCTCGTCCACAATCAGAAAACTGGTCACATTGGCCCGCACGTACTCTCCATCCGCTCCAGAGTCTGTAGTGGCTCCGGCCCTTTTTTTCTGTACTCCTTCCTCTGCGAGTCCGTGTTTAGCGGCCTCGTCTTTGTCTTTTCCCATACGCAATCGAGTACGGGATCCGCTCTGAACATCGAACTTTGTTTTCAGGGGAGCCCCGACACACAGGCGATCTCTAATCTAATATTTCACCCTCGCTCAGCCTTCGTGCTGCACGCCCTGTTCTACCGGAGCGTCCGCCTCCCTTTCTTTTGCCGCTCATTCAAGAAATAAGAACAATATCCTTCTTGACAGCGGCTGCGTTGGTTCGATACAGCCGCCTACGTGAATGCGAGAAGAACAAAAAAACGTCCTCGGTCATGGGATCGCCCCACAAAGGACGTCAACTCTGTATGGACCTGTGAATTTTGTGAATACGAAATAAATAGTAGTTGTAAAATTGGATAACGATATCTGATTCGCTTTCCGAGTCTTCCTTTTTGTCGTATCACATGGAGTGCAAGCTCGTAGGGGAAAGCTCGACGTCCGCTGTTCCGTTCGTGGGGAGAAAAAAATCGCCGCGGAAAAAAACAATGACCCGCAGCCGCGGTTGAGTGACGGGCCCTCTCCTTTACCGACACCTCTCGCGGCTGGTTTCAGCCGCGCAATTAGGGGCTCGGTCAGAAAAAAAGAAGATTTTGTGTCGACTGGTGGGATCCAGCGTAGCAACGCTGACTGAGAACGAATATCGCGACGCGGAGGGATGTGGAGCGATCGCCGCGTTGAATTCAGAGTGAGGCTCCTGTGAGTCATGGGAGAAAGCTAACTACTACGGTTTTCGGCTTGAATATTCCAATGTGTCGAGGAAACGCAATGTGAATTCCTCGAATTCCTCAACTCTTCAGGCACAAGAAGAAGACGACATTCGCACCCTGTACGAAATAGCCAAGGAGAAGAAGAAGGAATACTAGAGAAAAACGGAGTGACTGCATCCTCTCGCTTCTCCCCCATCTCTCCGCTTTTCTCATGGCGTCGTCCCTAAACCTCACTCGGTCTAGTCGTCAAAGGAATTCGCCGAGGGCTTCAAGGCAAGGGAGACTCCCTGACCCCAAGGGAGACGCAACCCTGGAAGCTGGAATTGAGCCAAAACTGACCGCGTACTGGAACGCCGACGAATGTGGGAACTTTCAGAATTTCCCCACGATTCCACCCGCGGAGTGTTCCCCTCGTTAGGCGCATGAAAGCGTACCATACGATTCGGGCGAAAACAGGCGTGAAACATGATGATGATGTTTTGGACTCGCTTGACCGTCAGCCGCAGGGGGAAAGCGAACCGACGAAGAGTTTACAGTTTCGTCTCGTGTATCAGATTCTCGTTTGGAGCTCAGCAGCGCGGCGGTATTCCCTAGTGGTGTCATATTCGCCCGCTTGCGGACCCGCGACGGCTTCTCTTCTCGGACCGATCGTGAAAGTACCCGGCGCATGATCGGTAGCTGAGCCGCATTTCAATTTATATAGGTCTTGGTTTCGCTCTACATGTTTGTATTCAACGAGATCTCATGATGGAGGAGCGTCGTCGCATACGAATACAAATCCATTCACAGATGGATCTCGTAAACTTGGAACCCGAGTACGAAGTTCTGCGTGTCGCTGGATCGCTGAATGTTTGTATCTCTGATCCGAACCGTGCATTCTGTTCCAGTAGTCAGACGTAACGAGGATTCGGCTTTTTCGGTTTTTTCGGCTCATTGAAAGTGTTGTCAATAAAGAGAGAATTGAGCTAGAACAGGCTGACGAACACTCACCCTTGAGACAGTGACCCTTCGGCGAACATGTGGGCGCAGAAGGCTCCTATCTGAGGACGGTTGAACGGCTTGCTGAAATGGAATGACGCAGCCTATCTCGCTCACGAATGCAAACAGGAGATTTTCTCCATCACTAGCTCTGGTCTCTTCGTCTGTTCTCAAAACGCCGATGACTGTCACTTCCGAAGTTTCTCAGGCCTCGTCGTCCCTGAATCTCGACGATAGCGATGTGGTCCCGTTCTCGCCATAATGAATAGTGTGGAGGATCCGCCCCTATATATGTTCAATTGTGTTCTGGAGTACAAACAGTACAGAAGCTATCGAAATTGCTGAAGCTCGACCCACTCGCCGTGAAAAGACTGCGCCGATCAAGCACCGGAAACAGGGCCGATCTGAGAAGCAGAGAACTTAGCGAAGGCGAAAGAATTCATATTAAAAAAATGGGCTTCGATCTCGAACGCCGTGATTGAGAACAGTGCTCCTATCTGAAGAGCGATAAGCGTCTGAGAATGAAGATTCTGAGATGGCTCGATAGACGAAGACGTGAGCAGGGTTTTGTGAGACGGCGTGTGTTGGCACCAGCGGCTGCCTGCTCCTTCGCCGCCTGCCTGCCAGTCTGCACCGCTTACGGTCACTTTACGCTGGACACAGACCGCAACACACGTGACGAGGCGTCTCGCGTTCGTCTTGCCGCGCGCCCTTACCATCTCCTTGATTCCTTACCGAAAGAACCGTCTGCCCTGCGGAGCGAACCCGCGGACAGGCTCCGTCTCATTTCGGCCAGGCCCGTAGGCTCCCATTAGTTCAGCGATTCGGCCAGTTCATTCTCGGTCGCAGGGGAGGAGAGCATCGAGCTCGCCTTTCTAGTTCTTAGGCACGTCGGATGCGGTAGAACGGCGACGAAGCTCTTTCCACGGAATTCGCGGCTCTGGCTTTAAGCTGGGGAATGAAAAATTCGCAGGATGGAGCTCCCTCGGGTGACACAGTCAGGGCATCAGGCTAAGGAGCGCCGAACTTGACGGATCTTCCCAAGACAATATCACACTCTCCATAATTCAGCGCTTCAAGAGAACACTTGAAAAGAGAAGTTTATGAAGGTAGGTATCTGACGAGAAGCTCTGCACCGTGGTGGTCGGCGACATTCATACTCTCTGAGTGTGCTTTTCTATCGTCAAACGACGTAGGTAGTTTTCGCTTCGAAGGAACACAGGAACGAGAGACCGAGTGGAGAAGGAGGGAAGGAAGCGGCGAAAAGTCTTGGCTCGCCGACTGAGAAGAGGTGAGAAGCCTGCTGGTAGGTCTGTGGCTGTTGGAGCGCTTCTATCATTTTAATGGATTCTATCATGCTTGAATGAGCTCCGTAAGCGCTGGCGACGGCCCTGATCATAGAGATCAAGAGCTACTCAACTTCAGCTTTGATGCCCTCGGGGTTTCACAAATAAAAGCCGAGAAAGTGGACTGAGCAGCCCGCGAGAAAGTCTCCGGACGAGTCTTCACACAGAGGCAGTAGGGCTCGACGAGAGATCAGGAGTCCGACATCGTAATGAGAAATCGCTGCGCGTCGTCGAGAATTGCTTCGAGAGTCGTATGCGCTTCATTCTGTGATGACGATAGATACCTACAACCGCGGATGATCGAATCGTTCTGGCGACTGCAACGCCAGAGCTGGAGCGGTCCCGGTATCTAGGACTTGTCGCTCTCAACCAAAGAGAGCACAAGCGAGGATCAATTATAACCATAAGCATAAGTTCTTTTAGGGCGGGGAAGGGGGAGCCATTCCCGGACCTTGCCCGAGGGCGGAAAACGTCTTCTTTCATATTCCTCTGCGGCCTACTCGTGCCCGGCGACGTGCACTTGGTCACTGACGCTGAGTCATTTATTAGATTGTCCCGCCATTCGCCTTTGACCTACCTCAGGAAACATTGTAGCGAGTTCTGGCGCCCTGATTCAATCCGGGACACCCAAGGGTTCCTGCGCGTCCTTAGAGCAACGGCCCCAAGTCTTCTCAATTCCTCGGCTCCGACGACTATTGATGGATTCTGTATGCATCTCTAATTCGGAGACGGAGCGAAGACTACTCAACGAGGTATCTCCTGTCCGCGAGGACTACCAGAAGTTCAAAGAAATCGCTACAGCCACCCGCGCGGACTCAGTAAGACCGGTGAAGGCATGCGAATCCGGATTCGAATGTCCTTAACTCCCTGACGGGTACCTATTCCGGGAGATTACCCCACTCAGCTCGAGACCCTCAGCTTTACGAGATGTCGAGGACCAGCGGACCATATTACCGTCGGGCATCTCAGCTCTATTCACGCGGCTACCTCACAAAAATCGGATCTCACGACGCTGCCTTACGCCGATTCGAACCTTTCCCGAGAAACCCGTCGAGGATCCCGAGCTGCCTTTGAGCCTATACAGCGATGCTGTGAACCATCCGCTCGACCATGCGTACTGTATTGGGAGCTGGAGTCTTCCGATTTCATTGTGCCTCTACTTTCTGTTCGGATTCTAGCTCGAAATAAAAACCGAATTCTACGCTTGAGGGAGTCCCGAAACCTTTTCTCAGGCAGCGGATGAGCGGCCAGAGACAACAATCGCAGTGAAGTCGTCGCGGACGTGGAACTTTGAAAAGAGAGAAGAAGACGAAGCGAATCAGTTACAAAAAAAAATCACCCGCCCCGAGTCCGAGAAAGAGGACAGACGAGAGAACCACCGTGCGGACGAACGGACGGACGGACGGATCGATGGATAGGGGAAGGTACAGGAAGGAGAATCAGGACAGACTCGGAAACAACACACTCGTGATGCGACCTCATTGGGAAACGGCGCGTATCGATTCGGATTTCGGACGTCTAAGCCGCTGGTGACGCCTCGGAATTCAAGGGTATCCGTCCCTCCCTCAAGGTCCACAATCGCAAGTTCAATGTTCGGAGGAACGGTCTGCGCGCTAATGAAAACCTGAGTGGCCTCAACTCTCTCAGCGAGGGGGAGGGGAACCATCGGCTCCGACAATTGTTTAGTGCGAATGCCTTCGATGTTTGTGCAGCTCACGGAGGGACTCGGCGTGGGAACCCTTCCACGTACATGCTAATTGGGGGACCCCGATTCGCGCGAAGCAACAATCAGTGATTGGTATGTACGTACGTATGTACGTCCGTCCGGTCCTTCATCCATACGATGCTTCGCTCGACGGTGGATCGCTTGACAAGTTCAGGAAACAAACTCCGGGACGCAGGAAACGGGCGCTGCCAAGACCAAGCCGGACCCGAGTCAGAAGTCCGAAACCGAGAGGCAGCAAACGAGCGAACGACGAATCCAGTCACCCATCCTACCAGTCCGGCAAGCAGGTCCCGGGCGGTTTCGTTCGGCTGCAAGCCGGCCAGCACTTGAACAAT